CTCACCATGTCCAGCTTGCCCTTCTTGTGTAGGGCGCTGGACAGCGCCACCGCGGTCAGCACGCAGGCTGCCAGGGAGCAGTAGGTGTTGATGGCAGCTCGGTGCTGGGCATCTCCGTGACTGGACACGGCTGAGTTGAAGCTGGGCCAGTACATCCACAGGAAGAGGGTGCCTGGCAGGACCAAACAGGGTGGGGGGGCCCGGGAGAAGAGGTGTTAGATGGGTCCCTTAGCGCCAGAGATGTTAAAGGACTCCCATGCCCAGCCGTTTCCCGCCCCGGTTACTCCATTCGCACTGGGCTCTTCCTTGAAGCCCTCCCGCCCCGCCTGGCTCACTCCCTCAGTCCCACTTACGCTCCCACCCGGCTCCCAAAGCACCACCAGGGGGAGCCTTTCCCTCCACTGTAGGGAGGTTATCTGGTGGAGCTCCTTGAATGCAGAGCTAGGTTTTAAGGGACCAGAGTGAGTAGCTGATTTGTGTTTTCTGGAATGAATGGACGCAGGAAGTAGGATGGCACACACTGCCCTAGCCCCGGAATGGGTACCACTGTGTCTGCCCCTGGGCATCCTAGGGAGAACAGAGGGTGACCGACCAAGCATCAGGGATCCTGGAAGTTTCTCTGGGGAACCTCCCTCTGCCCTTCCCCCAAGGGGAACTGGGAGCCACCTACTGGACCACCTGGGGATCAGTGTGAGTGTGACCATCGTGGTGGCCTGAGCTCCTCATGATGACCCTCACCCATCACGGTGGCCCTCGGTCGCCATGGTAGCCCTCAACCCTTATAGCAGCTCTCACCGATCATGGCAAAGAGGTCCGAGTGGTACACAGGACTCTGCCTCTGCTTGCTCTGGTACAGGTTGGGTCGGTAGAGGATCCAGGCCACTGTGAGCCCAAAGTAGGCACCGAATGTGTGGATGGTCATGGAGCCCCCGGCGTCCTTCACCTTAGGCATAAGGGGGCCTGTCAGGCTCTGACACCGTCTCTCCCCCCACCCTCCATGCTACACACAGACAGTGTCCAGCTGTGTCTGACTTTATGGGCTATGGAACGGAGCCTGGGGCCTCCGCAGACCAATCCGCTGGGAAGGGTTGAAAATGGGGATCCCCGAACCCAGGCTGTAAGCCTGTGGGCAAAATGCCAGGTCACCCTCACCCAGCAGATGGGATCGAGCCCAGGTGGGGAAACCCAGGCTTGCAGAGCTAGAGTCCCCAGGGCAACACCCCATCTAGTTTGTCTCCCACTAGCTTCTACCATGTCTTAATTCCGGGGAGCTCTTCCCCTTCCCTCCGGTGTCCCCTCTGGGTGTCCCCTCATACATAGTAGTCCTGCTCGACACCACCCATCCAGGCCGCGGTGACCCACATCCCTGCGTCCTGTCACACTCCTTGCCCTCCAGCTCCCAGCTAATGTCCCATGGCACCACGAGGGGGAGCCCCTTCCCCCCATCATCCTCTCCCCATTGCCCCCAAAGTCAGAGGTCTCAAGAAGTGACCTAGCAGGGCTGTCTGGGGAATTAAACTAGACAGCTCGTATAAAGCATAGGACATGCAACAGGTGCCTGACTGATTTAGCTTTCCTCCCCTGTCCCCCCACATCCCTTCTCTTTGGCCCCCTCTTCCTCCCTCCACTCAGAACAATCTCTAGACGGGGGAAAATCAGCCAGAGCAGTAAACATGTCCTCGAAGGTCGTGGAGCTAGTTGTTGACACAACTGGTGGGTGCGGCCTCTACTAGCTGTGTGACCTTGGGTGAGCCCCCTAACCCCTCTGAGTCTCAGCTTTCTCATCTGTCAAATTGGGGTGATAATTGTGCCTCCCCCAGAGGTAAGCGGCCTGGAGCATGCCCAATAAACCGCGCCCCCCTTAGAGATGAAGGGAGACACTGGGGTCCAGAAGGTTAAGAGACTTGCCACGGTGGAGCTGAATCCAGGTGGCATGTCTCCCCAGCCCTTTCTCCACCCCCTGCTGACCCCCCCAAGCGTCCCCTCCACCTTCACCCCCATTCTGATCCCTGCTCACCTCAAGCAGGCTCAGCAGGATGAACTCATTCACCGAGAAGAGGGTCACTTGGAAGAGAGTCATGATGAGCAGCTGGACAGGGCTGACTTTGCCCAAACTTGCCCCAAAGGCCACGCAGACGGAGCCCACACAGAAGTCCGCGTTGATGAGGCTGTGGGGAGACAGGTCCGGGAGGGGCCCATGGGCTGCGGTCTCTCAGGGCAGTTTCCATGGGTCAGGATGGAGGACCCAGTCCCAGCCCCTGGAAAGGAGACACTGAGGTGTCCCTGCAGCCTCGGACTTAGGGGGAGGGAGGCCCTTGTCCCGCACGCGGACCGCGTGGGCATGGCTGGACCTCCCGTCCTGGAGGCTTGCTGATGGGGGAGCGGAGGGTGCGGGCGGGGCGCCCGTGCTGTCCGTCACAGGCCCCGTGTCTCCTGGTTGGACGATGAAGAACGGGCTCCAAGCCCCAAAGCCCCAGCTCCGCCCTCGGGCCCGCCCCT